ACTCAATCAACTCTGGAGCAGCAAGAGTGGATCTGATTTCCAAGTCAGCACACGCATGTCACTGAAGGTACGAGATAAGATGACGTTGTATCGATTAGTACTAGCGAGAGATGCAAAATGAGTGTTCTGAGGAGTCATAACACATTTCTTGAGCTCTGGTACTTTCAGTCACAATCAAGTACAAGAAAGCTGTTCTCTTCATCCAGCATATCTAGCCAGAAATACTGGAGCAGCATCTGCAGAGTCATCAGAGTGTAACCAATATCTATTCATCACAGAGTGCATGACGAGATTTCAAGGACTAAGGGACTAGAGAAGTCACGCCAGAGGGTAGATCTAAACCCGAATGAGTTTCAAGAGCTTGTGACCATAACCAGAGTCATCATGGTCACCATCAACGTTGTGAAGAGTTGAGGCAGTAGTACAGGTCTAACCACAATCGCGAGTCTGAACACGCTAAGCACGAGGAACTGGTTTTAGCTTGACTGTGACAGCTGTAACACACCTTATCTTCTTAGAGCGAGAACCTTCTGATCAATGTCTCCTTTCGATTGAAAAGCTCAGGCCTATGTTCAGCCCAACCTGCAGATATCAGAACTTAACAAAAACTAGGTAAAGCCAGATCAGTAGTAACACAAGGCCCATGCTATTTAGACTGAAAAACAAGGGATGCAGCAATTTGAGAAACAAGGATCAGACTTAGGCCATACCAGTTAGAGCACCCAAAGTTTATTAATGCACAACTCATGTGACTTAACCAAAACAACTTCAGATAATGCTAATCTAGAAACTAGACACATGCAACACAAATCCTAAGGAGTTAGGACTTATAGACTCAAAGACTGTTGCATCAAATGACAGTTACCAAGAGCAATCATGTATGCAACCACTGAGTTTCAAGAGATACTGAAGATAACATTTAGAGAGCGAAACACACTGATTTCCTGAGATCAGAACATGAGAGACAAGATGTGGAGATACTTTAGCCAAAAAATATATACACATATATATAAAATATCAACCCTTGAACCTGTCCTAGAAGGTATGTGACACCACTGATTGAAGTCAGAATAGCAAGCAGAAGCCTTTAGAAAGTGATCAACTCACCAGCTCACTGAGGTAGCTATTTCTCAAAGAGGAGCTTTCACACTCAGTGATCAACCCAGAGTAGTCTTCACATCAACATACATGTTCATGACCTGTTGAGAACGTTTCAGAACACATAGTAGAAAACCCCTTCCCAGCTCATATTGAATAGAGCTTTCATAACACACAATTTAAAT